AAAGGGAAACAAAGATGGCAAGTGGCGGTGCAATACAAAATGGGGAAAGAAGAAGACAAGGACCCAAGAGCTCTTTGAAGAATATGAGAAATAGAAGATCTTATGAAAAAATACCCAAAAGAAAGAGTGAAGAAATGAAAGATTTATTTCCAGTTTTGGGGAAGAATGGGAGCAGAGCATGCATGGCTATTGAGAGAAGAAAAAGGCCGTCGGATGAAGCTAACGATGTGGTCTATGGAGGAAACCGAACGTGGAGGAAGGGATGGCAGGCAAGGGACTGGAGGTCTTGGTGCAGGAGGCTTTGTTTTTTTCAACTGGAGGAAATTGTCCTACGCGGCTTGAGGGCGTAAGACACTTTACGAAGTAAACAGGCCTTTTTCTCGTTGGCCGGTAAAAACTTTTACCAAATGAAAATATTTTTAAGCTACCAAACACAACTGAGTTTTGAAAATATTTTTCACAAAACATTTTTAATTAAAACAAACGGATGAATTTTAAAAAAAATATTTTTAATCAAAACAACTGGACCTTTAGTTTGAAAATAATTAATTACGTAGGTTCTATTTGGTTTGTTTATTATGCTATTATTTGTTTTTTTTTGTTATTTTGATAAAAATGATTAAGAAGGAAAAAAAATAGAAAACAAAATATCGACTAAATAAAATCCTAACAAAGGCATTCCATAAATAATAGTAATATTTTTTTCTTAAATTATTATTAATTATATGTTTCTGGAATTGAAAATAGTTAAAATAATTAGTGAAGTCAAAGATTTTTCATCCGAACAAACTTTCATTATTTATAAACAAAAATATATTTTCTTATCAAAGTCCAAAAGTTCATAACCCGTTTAAATTATTTTTAATTTTTCCAATGTATTTTTGTTTTCTTGTTTCTCCTCTTTACTCCCTATACTCTCTTTCGACCCCTTCTTCCCTTTTTCAACTCCTTAACATCCTCTCAAAATATAATATTTAAATTATTAATTTTTAATATTTAAAAATATAATTAAAAATAAATAATCACACATTATCATTTATTCTTTTATTATTTCAAAATTATTTTTACCAACTAAAAAATTACAATAAACTATAATAACAATTCTTAATTATTTCATTACATCAATCAAATTATATAAAATATTTTAATTCTATTCCTATTTTATTCTATTGCATTTCAATCTATTCCACAAAATAGATGTACAGAAAAATCATTGTAAATAGTACTTTGAATAAAATAGAGTCTGACATATATTGGCATATGCATAAAAGATTTATGAATATTCATGCATTACTAACATTTTTCTTGCAAGATAAAAGAAAAATTATTGAAAAAACCCCACAAACAGAAAGAAAGAAGACAGTTATCTGTAACAAATTATTGACTCAACCACCCGATTCATTTAAATACTTTCAACAAAAAACTGTATCTTCTATTCATGTTGTGATAAAAGCTCCATTCTCCTATACAACAACATAAAGCACAAACTTGTGAACGTCAAAACCTTGTAACCAACTATAATCACCCAACCTCAAGAAGAAAACAAACTTTATCACATAGCATTCAAAATTTTTTTTGATTAAAAAAGAATTAATGTCATGAGAAAATGGTTCAAGAAAACAATATACATTACATGCATGCAATCGCCGATGCAGATGCACACACAAGTATGCTCATCAAAGGAAAAAGGACAAGCAGCATCTCCAAGCCGGAAAATGGAGGCAGCACTGGAAGGAGTAGGACAAAAATACCTGAAATAATAAGTATACATGATTCAATATCTTACTCAAACCAGCTAGAACATCATAATAAAGGGTTTGATACTGAACGCATGTCCACAAGGACCACAACAGTACTCATTCACTTTCTAAGGTTTTCAAATATTGATTCGTGAGCCAAAATTGAGAAATAATATATATAATATCATATAATGCAATCCATTTTTATCAGCTCCAAGGCTGGGCAAAGTTGTCAAATGTTAAACTAAGAATTTCTGTCTTTATATTGACATTACTATATCAATACCACTGTGTGTTTCATTTTATGTTTTGGATTCCTTTATGTAACGATATAAATGTATGTACAAGAATCTGCCATCAAGAACGTAAGTTCTTGTTGAATGCATTTATCTATATTTTGATCAGCAATAAACAATAAATTAAAGACTTAAGACCCTTTCTGCCAACTAAGCTAAATTTTTTGCCTCATCTCAGAATATCCATATATCATATAGCAGTTCCCTAAACAGTCAAAAATTGTTGATATCTTTTGCTTTTCAAGATGGAGCAGGGAGCACCCTTTCTATTTAACCAGTTGAACTGGGTCCTGACAAGGCCTCCAAGTCAGATGGTTCTCTTGACCCAAGTTTCTTCAAAACCAGGTTTCAACCCACCCAGTCATATAAAACCCTAAAAGACTAAGAAAATAGTAAAAGACAATCAGAGGAAATTTACATAACACACACTTGTTGACATATATGCACAGATACATGCATACATACATATAGACATGCATATCTAATAGATACATTCATGTGTATGTACACGCCAATCTACGTATTTACATATCTATACCGATATAGCATGTATATATACACATGCATATCTATATAGATAAATACGAATGTATGTATGGGTACATGTATGTGTATATGTATCAGCCTTTTTTAAAATCAATAACAAGAAAATTGATTCAGTACAATTTGATAGCATTTGAGCCGAGCTCCATAAATAGTAATATTTTTCCTAATGCCAAACATGACCTGAAAAATGATCATATTCAAGCATTCTGGGTCTCACCTCTCTCAGCGAAAAATAGGGATAGACCTTTTTCTTTGTCAAAGAAACATTTAGAGCTCAAGTGATCAGATATCAGCTGTTTGAGACAAATGCAGCAAGGGCATTAGCATGTGCAGGTGGAAGATTGCTCAGTAAGGGTTGCATCTCTTGTCCATAAAGTGAAATTAGGTGAGAAAAAGCCCTTCCTACTTGAGCTTTAACTTCCGAAGTTTCTTCTGGAGACACCAGAACTTGAGCAAAAATATTTACCAACTCAGGAACAAGAGAGAGTATCTGCTTTGCATATGCAAGGGGGAAATAAAATCAACAAAGACTATCACTTCTGAAATAAAGATCAAGAACCATAGATGTTCAATGAAACTCTCAATTGACATATATTATTAATTTTATCAAGTTTGCCAACCTGGTAAGGAATTAGATAAATACCTGGGGATTGGATGATAAAACAAGCATAGAGACACAATTATAAACAGCCATGGACTCCTCATGATCTTCTTTTAATGGAAGAACTCTCAAAAAGACAGGAAGAACCTGAGAAATGTAACCAAGTTATAATCAGAAGACATCAACACTTAGGTATTGGGGCGGATTGGAGGGATGTTGTAGAACAAGAAAAGAAGTTGGAAACAGGCAAGATTAACCTGGTTCAATGGGATGGATTGTGGGTGCACCATTATCATCCTTGCAACAGCACCAGCAGCATTATCCCTGACAGCATCATCTGGCTCAGAATCCCCAAATAAGGGGTAAAGCCCTCGCAGTATATCATTGTAATATCTATTATCGATGAGTGGAAAAGGCTACAGCAAGGAATGGACAATTGTGGAGAACATGTAAAACAATGACATAACAGCTAATCAGTTTTAATATTTATCATAGTTTGAAGACAATAACGTAAAAACTAGTCTCTAGAAATCTGCAAGACACAATGAAAACACATTTTAAAACATCAAAACCAGGGAAGAATAGTGGGTGAGGGCAAAGGAGGTTAAGGTGAGGGCATGTGCTGGAAAAGGATACTTCAAAGTTGACTCTCCCCCATTTTTGGAAAGCTCTCCGGCACAAAATGCAGCATTCCTTCTGTTTGTTGCTGATGACGATGCTAGTTCTTTAAGCACCAAGGGCATCAGTCTCTGAAAAATGGAAAAAGGTTTCAGCAGACGCAGCATATGTTTGAAAACCAACAAAGACATCAAATTAACTGCTATCATCCAGTTGTAGCCTTTGCTACTTGGTTTTCGCTTCTGAAAGCAGGAAGCAAAAACTTTGTTTGGATAGAGAACTAAACATTACTTTTCAAGAACTAAAATTAAAATTATAACATTTTATAACAAAATGCATGATATTTAAACAAACCAATTAATGTAAAAATTAGCATCGCATTTTATTTGTTTGTTCATTTTTTGGTCATCATTTTGTTTGCTATACTTCACTTTTGCTTTATGGCAATCTTTTAGGCAACAAAAATCACATAATAAAAGCAAGAACCAAACAAAGCCTAAACAATTCAACACTTTGATTAAATTACATCAACATAGCTTGCAATTGGAGCACCCATATCCTGCGCAACTTCAGCAAGACAAGCAACCACCATAGTTCGATCTTGTGGAGGGCGTGAAGCTCTCTGCACTTGCCAATAAACAAATATAAGATGCTAATTGTAGAAATCAAAACTTCATACTCAACTACTACAACCCACCGCAAATTTCATCAGAGGTTCAAATAGTTTTGCAAATATAGGTGCAAAGTCAGAACCCATTGACTTAGCAAATGCAGGTAAAAGGTCAGAAGCTGCATCCATAAGAATTTCATCATGTTCAGCATCATCAACATCATCAATATCACTCCCATTCTCCAATTGCTGACAAGATGATTCCTCTCTAAGCAATGTCAAAGTTGCGTCAACAAGCTGAGACATATCTGAAATACCAGATAAAATGAGAATAAAATCGACAAAAAAATATTTCATCTCAATCTGAAATATTTTCGTGCCAAGAATTCTTAACAGCAAGCAGCCAACTACTTACAAGGCTCTAGAGCCATATACCCATAATCCTTAATTATATCAGCTATGCTCATACAAGCTTGGGCAACAACTTCCTTGTCATCATCTTCAGTCATAGTCTTGATATAGATATTCATCACCGTATCTACAAAATGAATGAACTTAATCAAAACTCTAGTACCAATGCAAACCAGGAGAAGAATAGATGTAAACAGTTAACAGTTAATACCAAGAACTTCATTTGCCTTCATTGACCCATCCTGCATAGCAAGAAACATTAAACTCATATTAGCAGTGTATGCAATCACCTACTCTCTGGGTATATGCATGCACCCTACATACATATGTACATACAAGCATGCATAAGCACCCTGCTGTCTTTAGTCTATGCCAGTTTAAGTACACACTTTTCTCTGCATATGCACATGTGTCTGCATGTGCATGATTATGTTGCTCAACCAATTAGCTTATAAAACAAATTTACCAATCTAAAGAGGAGCTTTGACAACTACAAGCATGTGTGAAGGACCATTGGGTGAATTTAATACATGCATATCATACACAAAGGCCGCCAAGTTTAGCATTCAAAATTCTAAACTAAATTGGAATGGATCAAAATCAAAGCCACAACTAATGGTCATATCACATAAAAGTAGAATTATTCCTTTGTATTCAAAAATAATTGATCATTCTGCAGAAAGCTTGATAACCAGAACATCTACCCACCCCTCTCCTATCCTAAGAAAAGGGTCCACTAGAGATGTTAATGAAGCAAAAAGAAAAGAGGGGGGCAGGCTATAAAGGGGAAGGAAAACAAAAAGAGCCAATGTAACTCACATTTTGACACTGCAAGATTGCATGTGCTGCTGTCAAAATATCTGTAATTTCGATCATCAACAAAAGTTAAACAGTTAGATTCGTATGAGATAAATACCTAAATATAAGAGATATTTAATATTCCACCAAATGCAGCAAGATTGAATCTTGGCTACGATAAACAGTGAGCTACAATAAAAAAACTAAATGTCAAATCTGTACAATGAGCATCCTGCTTCAAATATGAACTTGATAATGAGTTTCTCCAGACGTGCAAAAGCATTACGTCAACCACAATGGCACTTCATTTACTTTTTGTACCAGATCTTCCGTCCCTCCCTCCCTCACCATAACGGTGCCAGTTATTGCAAGGATTTTGCATGCACATCCTAAGCGGATGAGAGGGGCTGAGAGCAATTTGTGATGCAGCCGTGGTAGAGGGCAAACGGCAAAACAAGATTAATTGCCAGAACAAAAGAAAACCAGCTATAGGCTGTGCCAAGAATACAAAAATATTAATTGTTGTAGACTAAGGTTCTTTTATTTTTTGTAAGTAGAAGAGTATTTAATGACGACATCCATAAATAATTTTCACCATCTATGATGACCATAAATGTTGACGGTATGATTGGATCGCACTGTATTACATAATCATATCACAAGCATGTAGTTGGTACTCACGTTTCAAAGCAATGATTGCCTGAAGCCGAACATCTTCATGGAAATACCCTGAATGTCTCACCAAAATCTTCAGTGATTCCTCCAAATAGCTTAGAACAATTAAAGAACTCAAAGAGTAGAGGGGAACCTACCATTTTTTATTAACACTTACGTTTGCACTGGGGGCCACTAAAGAATCTAAAAGACAGGTCAGTACTAAATCATTCTTACTATGTTGTATAGTTGACATTTTGAAAGCCAAAAACTTTAATACCATAACAGATCTTTTTCTGAAAGTAAATTACCAAACCGTAAAAGACTAAAACCAGCTACACTGTAAGTTGGTTTTGAATAAAACAGTTTTAATATCAGAATAAAATAAAAAATTGATCAAAAATAAATAAATAAAACAGTACAAGGATACGGAGCATAAGAACGTTTTGTATGCTGGGCAAATAAGCCAAGAGCTTGAGTTGCAGCTGCCTTTTCATCCAATACACCTGTTCTGATACTGATATTCCTAACTCTTGGTTCATCATGAGCTTCATCATCCGATGAAACTTCGCCAAAACCATTAATATTCTCATCATCAGACTCATCAATGTCCACCGCAGACCCATCATCGAGGTTGCAGGATGAAAATGCCAGGGGTACAACATGAGGAAGGTACTGCTCATAAAATAAAACTGACATCAAAGCAGAGACCAAGCAAAGGACAACAGAAGTTTAATTGAAACCCATGCACACCTTCACAAAGCCGTCATCCATAATTTCTGCAACATTACTGAAGAATCCATGAGTGTACTCCCGAAGCTCACTGAATTCTAATCCAAAACCCTATGGTGATAGCAAGCATAATTCAACACATATAGGATTCATGCTAAGATACTTAGAAGGAAAAGACAGTGTAATTACAGAAATTGCAGCTTCTACGAAAGCAGGTAAAATTGGCTCTATCCTTGTTCTTCCAACAGACATTGCAACAATTCCAACAAGCTCTGTAGCTCTAGCCCGAGCACGCAAATCCTCATCATTGGTAAGCACCATAAATCCTTTCATCAACTCCAGAACCCTTTCAGCATATGGAATGAAAGCTTGCTCTGCAGCAGCTGCAACAGAACCAATTGCAGACTGCACCAATATTAAAAATAAATATTAGAATGCAGGAATAATTCTTCAATCACCTTAAACGCAATGTTTGAAGACTTCAATTATATTCAACTAGCATTATCTCATATCCTCAACTCTCCATTTGACTGCTGAATCTCAGCTTAGGCACCTGTGTTTGCCTGTGCATGTTTTTTTTCCTTTTAAGATGAAAGAAGGAATATATAGATATATTTGCTTACCATGCACGTTTCTTGCAAATTACGGGAACTATTTTGGAGGGCAGCCAGTAGCTTTCCCATTAAGGGGTCAAGAAAAGGTAGGATTTCCATGCCCATATCTTCACAAAATGCTGCCAAAGCATAATATGACTTTTCCTGATAAAAAAAAGGAGTATCCAATGCTTATAAATATTACAGAAAAAAATATAAGTACAAAAATTTACATGCAAGCATACATGTACATATAATCAACTAAAAAGTGATTTACACAACAAACTTAGAACTTTCTGTTTAACTACCTTGACTTCATCAGACACATCCTCCAGAGCATTGAGAATGCAGGGAAGAACACTTGCATAATGAGATATAATTTCAGGCTGCAAATGTTCTGCAAATTGGCCCAATGCGAAAGAGGCAGCCCCTCTAACCATTTGCTCTGGGTCCCTCATTGCCCCTAAGACAATTTGAAGAACAGGTTCCAACTTATCCTTCATCAACTCTGCACAACCCTCTGAAACAACACCTAAAGCTGTGACAGCAGCCTCCCTAAACTTAGGATTTGCATTCTGACTGCTTAGAGAAGCAAACTCAAAAACAAGGGGAAAGACATGCTTTGAGAGATTCAAGGCCATTGTGTCAATAACTTCTGCAGCAGCTCGATCAGGAGCAAGATCATCATCTTCATCAACATTGGATGATTCTGCGAGCAAAGGGCACATTACTTGCAGAATAGGTGTGACCAGCTTCTGCTTTTTTAGGGAATTGGCTTTGTACTTAGCAAGCCACGAAATTATTTGAATAGCCTGACAAATTAAACAGAAAATAAGTAAAGATGCAGAGCACAAAAACAAAAACAGAGGCATGAGCGAAAGGAACACAGCCATAGCCTGTGACAGAATTACCCATTATGACGAATTGACTATATCTAATTAATAATAACAAGTTAAGAATAATTAGAAAAGGAACCATCTTTTCTCACCTGGTGGCGAGTGTTTGATTCCAAATTCTGGCTCGAGCTAACTTCAAGGGAGAACTGTACAATGGATTTAACAGAATCCCCAAGAAGCGGTGCAGGAGACTCAATAAGTTCATCAAAAATTTCAAATGCAATAATAGCAACATCCTCCTCACCAGCAGCAAGGCATTGTCTTGATACATTTAAAATGCTAGGAATGAACTCCCGAAACTTAACCTGCATGATAATTAGCCAAATACTCAATGCAAAATTGCTTGACCTTGTTCTTTTTTTATTAAAAAATGTATAAAAACTGTTAAAGCACAAATAAACAATTGCCGAGGAACAAGATATGATTTAAAAATAAGATTACTGGAAGACCTATGTGTGGATGGTAACTGGTGGAAACAGAAGCAACTACTAAGCAGACCTGATATTGCCAGCCAGATCATACTGAATAAATCTGTACAAGATGGACAATTTACCACTGCAGGGATGGAAAATGAATGTCCCACCCATTGTGCTCAACTCCACCGAACTAAGCTTTAATTAGAAATCAGGTGGGCTAAGTTTCATGCATATATTACTATATTATTTCATCTAATTTTCATCAATAACATTCAAACAAAGGTAAAATACACTGACACCCTCAACTTTTGACCAAAATTACACGCAGATCCATTAGTTTTCAAAATGAACACTCTGCCCCAAACATGTAAATGGCATTAATGTCTAAACGTGAAATGTCTAAAATGCCTTTCTTTTTTCCACTCTTCTTCAAGCCGACCCGTGGCGCTCCCTTACACTGGCTGGATCTCCTTGGGCTCCCTTGGGGAGCACCATACGCTCCCCTGTGGAGCCCCAAATCGAGCTCTCTGGGGAGTGCTAGATGTCACGCGCTTGAAACTTTAGCCAAGTTCCGTGTGACGCTGTAGTCTTGTGTTCGTAAGACTACGCATGCCTTAACGAGGTTTATTGACGATCAGCGCAAAAACGTAAAGTGAATGAATATGAAGAAAGAGATGGGGGAGAATAAATAAGTATTATTGCTCCGATGAGAGAAAAACAAAATACCTAAGATCTAAGCACAAAGCAAATTGCTTGATGAAAAGAAAAATCTACCTAAGGTGGCTATTTATAGCCTCTAGCCTACTTGGGGTAGAGGCTATAAATAAAACAAGGAAATATCTAACCTATGTTTCCTTGGTGTACAAGTAAAGTAAACATATAACCAAGGAAATATTCCCTAGCTTGGTGAGCAAGTTTCCAACCCTAACTTCAGCCTAAAGAGTGCAGCCCATGTGGCTCCTCTCAACTGGATCTGCCTTTGGAGCGCTGGTCCGCCAGTGGTGCGCCCTAGGGTGCACAGCAGGTGTGCACGCCCTAGGGGTGTGATGTGCGCAGCCCAGCAGCGCATGTAGCCCGCTGATGCGGAGGCTCCCTACACACGCGTGGCCTTGCATGCCAGGCCTGCTGGGGCGCAGAAATGCAGAGCCCCTGTGCAACTTGCCCTCCTTGGTGAGCACTGGAACCCCACGTCTACATGCTGGTCTAATGGTTGGCTGGGTTGGACTCGCATGCAGTGTCACTAGATCTGTTGCTCCCCACCCTTGGGGAGCGCTGTCGGCCATAGGTGGCCAATGAAGAGATTTATTTTTTTAAAATGAGAAAAAAAATTAAAATGAAAAATTATAATTTATATAGTGATAATTTTTAAAATTAATGAAGGGCAAAATTATCCTAAAAATATTGCCACATCATCAAACTAACAAGAATATTGATGGTTGACTAACAGCAAGACTTATGTATCCAAGAAAAATATTTTTTGAATCAGAGTGTTCATTTTAAAAACTAATTAACTCAAGTGTAATTATGGTAGAAAGTCAAGGGCATTAGTGTATTTTACCCTTTAAACACACCAGTTGGCTTATTCAATTTTCAATTTGAACCAAATGGTGAACAGCCCTATTAATAAGGTTGACATAAGGTTAGGGATAGAATAGTCCATGCACAAAATTCATAATTTTAAGATCATATATTTTCAGATTCCCCCGATTCAAAGGAAGTTCACCTTCTCAATTCCCTTCTGTAATTAAATATTCAAAACAAAGTAGAATATTTCCTCAAACTCCCTTTATCTTTCGCTTTCACCTCATCGGTGACTTTTATCAAATGCGGTGCCTTAAAATTTTTTCAAGAATGGTAATTCTTCATCAATTATTTGCATAAAAGGAATTAAAAGAATGAAACTTGAGCTTATCAATCGCATCTATTAACTGAAATATATTAGTCAAGTTTCATACAATGGCAAAAAGGTATAATTCCTGGAGAAGATTCTGATTAGCAAATATCCTTTTTGCATAAGCACAAATCAGTCCTTCTGCAACCCTTATTCTATTTTGGAAAGCAAAGTACAGCATTCTCAAAAAATTCACCAAGCACAGGAAACAAACATGTTTACAACAAAAACACTTAAACAGACTGCATAATCAAAAGATAAGCAGGTGGATAACTGTAAAATAGTATGCAACAGACAGATTATTCACAAGATGTAAATGATATGCTATTACGATTCAAAACAGATAGAATTTCTAGTTAAGCAACAAGCATACAAACTCACCACTTCAGCCCCATCGTTTGTGAATTCAAGAAAAGACCCCACTGCCCTGGCAAAAAAAATGTGTTTTGTAAATAAATCGCAAACAGTTATTTCTTAACCACCAACAAGATCACAAAAGAGTCAAGAAGGAACAAAAGAAAGAGGACTAATTATTACTTAAGAGCAGCAACTCTGACACGATTGCTTGTCTCATCCTGCAAGCACTTGAGTAAAAGTGCTTGCAACTCTGCAAAATGTGGTCTAAAAGTGCTCCCAATTGTTTCAGTCAAAGAGCTGAAAAGGATCAATGCCACCTAATATCACCAGAAGCAGACAAACGCATTTGTTAGTCCGTAAAACAGAAATGGATGAATTGGAGGACGCAAGAGGAAATGCGAGCTGCTAGCATCTACAAAAGCTGGTTACTATGTAAGGCTCACTGCTAATCCAAAATGATACAAATATGAAGACATGATTAAGTACAACACCATGCAAGTGCAGGTGTCCAGTTAGGGAAGTATATAGATATCAAACAATGAACTTCGATCAAGCTCCTATATGACTTCCTACAGCAGGAATTTGACTGTTCGAACAGCAGCAAAAACCTAGTGCTATACCAAGTCATGTTACTGCTGAACACTGAACAGCCTGGGCACAATCGGATACGTGGCTCAACTTTAGCTTTGAATATAATAAGTAAACACGCCAAGCTCAACCCAATAAATAAACACACATACCCTTAATGTTATAAGCTTCTGCGTTATTGATTCTTTTTATACACTAAGAGAATTATTATTCAGCATAAGTTTATAGCAATGAAACATACTTAATCAACTTCCCGAAAATAAAACCCAAAAACTTACTTCTCGATGATCCTCCTGCGGACTCTGACTACACTGAAACAGAAACGACAGAAGATCAGGCCACTCTCCAGCTGGAACCGCGTATTTCGCAATTATACTCACAACATTGGCGCTGGCTCGCCGCACTGGTGCACTGCCAAAAATTCAACAAAATTCAATTACACTATAAAAATTATAAAAAAAAAAAAGAAATAAAGAAGACATATGGAAATTGTATAATGAACCTGTGTTCCATTGTGATACTTTCAATGAGGGACTGCTTGACAAGTTGCTTAACCTGATGAGCAAGCTTAGCCCAGTGTCCAGTGATCTTCTTACGGAGGAGGACGGCGGCGAGCTGGCGGACGTTGGGGGTCTTAGCGGTGCGGAGGTGATGAACCAGAGCCGGGACCACTTGCGGATCCTTCGCCAATCTCTTAATTTGCTCCTCCGCTTGCCTCCTTGCATCGTTATCTGGCATTAAGAATTGGATCAACAACAATTCTAGGGATTGTGCCATCGTTTTTTTAGCTTTTCTTTTAGGGTCTCACTTGAGAGATGGAGATGAAGAGAGAAGTGAAAAAACCCTACCGCGGAGGCTGCTGATATTGGTAAAGGGTTTTTGCTTTCCTTCTAAGTTTATATACTTTGATGAGCTGTGTTTGTGTCTGGACAGAAAGGAGGGAAAGTAAAAATGCGTACCAGAATGCGACCATGGCAGCGGTACTGCTTTTAGCCATAATTAATTTTAAATATGTTTATTAATTTTAAAAATAAACAATATAACTCAAAAAATATTTTTGTTAAACATATACGTCCATTCAATCATTAATATTTTTATTATTTTAATAATATAATAATATTTAAAAAATATTTTTATATTTTATTAATTTTAAAAATTATTATATTATATAAATCATAGTTTTTATTTTTAATTTTTTTCAATTAAAAAAAACTCACCCTTCTTCTTTCCGCAGTCAACTAAATCTAACTCCAATAGAGAAACACCAAATCTGACTCCAACCAGATCTCCCTTCACTCGCACTCTGCTCCCCCAAGCTCCTCAGGGGAGCCCAGATCTCGTGCTCCTTGAGGAGCATCGAAGTGGGTGGGGAGGCGTGGCTCCTATGGAACGTAAGGGTGAGCAGGTGCAACTCCCTTGGAAAGCACTGCCAACTAGCTTAAAAAAATAGTGACAGAGAGAGTAAAGAGAATAAGGGTATTTTTGACATTTTATATTTATATGTTGATATTATTTATTTATTTAGTTGAAACTGTTTATTTTAAAATTAATAAATTCACGTAAAATTATAATTTAAAATTAAAAAAATAAAAATATTTTACTATTTTTTTATAAACCAATCTAGTAAAATATTCATAAAATAAAATAAAATAATTATATTATAGTAACATATAACTAAGCATTTTTATTAAAAGTATAAATTTTAGATTGGAATGACTTAACATATGAATTTAATCATCCTTTCTGTTACAATAAAAAGATTGAATTAAAATACTAAAATACCCTCACCTCTTAACTTCTCTTAACTTTTTAATTATAATATTATATGAGTCTATTAATTTTAAAAATACACAATCCACCCAAGCCCATAAATGATATTAACGGATAAGTGCAAAATGTCAAAATTACCTTTCTTTCTTTTTCCCTCTTTTGCACTATTTTTTTTTCAAGCCAATCAACCGCAATCCCAATCGACTACCCTTGCGCCCCACACGCTTGTGCTCCCTAGAGGAGCTGGGATGGGAATCTCATGCCCCCCCAACTGATCTCGAGCTCCCCAAGAGAGACGCACCCCCTCCCATAAACGGTGGGGTGGCGCGACTTCGTTGGGGAGTGCGAGATCTATGTTCCTCTAGGGAGCATCGGGGGTGGGGGGTGTGTCTCCCCTAGGGAGCGCGAGGGGAGAGAGTTCTTGCTGGATTTGGATTTGGCACTCCTCGATCGAAACTGGATCTGACGCTCCACTTAGGGAAAAGCTAAGGGATAGGGATTTTTTTTAATAAGAAAAAATTAAAAATAAAAAAATTACAATTTATATAATATAATAATTTTTAAAATTAATAAAAAATTATTATTTTAATATTACCACATCATCAATTTATCAAAAATATTAATAATTAACTAACATCTGAACTTATGTGATTAATAAAAAATATTTTTTAAAATAAATTATTTATTTTTAAAATTAATAAATTCGTATAAAATTATAATTAAATATTAAAAAATAAAAATATTTTATTTAATATAAAATATTATTTATTTAGTTTTGTCAAAATTAATATTGAAAATAATAATACAAATAAAAGTAATAGAGAATATAATATTAATTTGTAGACTAATTTTTCAAATTTAATTTTCACCAGCTAAGTAAAATTCTAATAATATATTCTCAAATGTATATTATTATAAATCATAATATTTTAAATTTATCTTTATTTTTTTGTTATCTCAACCTTAAATTTTAATTTTTATACTTATCAATAATACGAAGATATTTTGTTCCAATCCATGTGGTAAAGCGGCAATGCACGAGGTGATTGGATTCCTAACCAATAATATTTGGATGATTTTGACTTTTGTGAAGAGTTTTAGTATTTTTGAACTTGAGGTGTAGTTAGACATAATAATCATTGAAATTTTATTAAACTAGAAAGTAACCCACGTTATGCAACTTGGTGAAATAAATTTATTAAAAAAATGATATTTTTATATGAGAGGTTTAGGTTAAATTTTCTCTACAGATACATAACTATGATGAAAAGATATAAAAGATTGTTTATAAGGATAAACAATTGAAATAGTAACCGATAAATGAAAAGAAAAACAATTAATAATAGATAAAGTTGTGGCATAATATTGACTGAGTTATACACTAAAAAATAAAAAATGAATGTTACAATAGCATTTTTAGAGTTACATGATTACAAAGTGTCATGCTATGACAAAACAAAAAAACTAAAAGAGATTTTTGCTATGTCTACAAACAACACTATGAGAAAAAGGATATTACACACTGTATAAGAAGAGGTGAATTGTGGACAATAAGTTGATATCTTCAACAAAGATTCCTGTGTACAAAATTAACAGTGCAAAGTAATAAATAACATTGTAATCATTATATATATATATATTGGTGAAGTAAGCAGTTTTAGACAATGGAAAAGTTTCAAAGGCATAGAAAATGAATTCAAATTCAAATTCAATGGAAATGAAGAAAAAAAATTTTTGATGATTTCATCTGGGGAAGAGAAAACTTGGCAATAATCCAAATTGATCAAAAGCAATAAAAGCTTACCTGCTTTAACTAGGGTCAACGATGATCTCCCATTGTAGTTAATCAGATATAGGTTTTGGAATAACATAGCTTTCATTAGCATGAAAAGAAGTAGAGTAAAAACCATTACTTAGTATTTAATACTTGCAAAGAAGAAGCACATGAGGACAATTTAAACAAAAGATTTGAATGATATAAAATTTAAAAAATAAGAATAAAAAGATCTCTTAATAGAAATTTCATTATCTCTGAAGGCAACATTTGGCTGTGTAAGGTTGATCAAATTATTGATGGCACTCTTAAATAATAAAAAAATATGTAGTAAATATAGATTTTAACAAGAAAATGACAAATTAAGATGTAATAATGATTAAATATTTTCATGTGAATATTTCATATTTCTGATTTACAGGACCATTGAGATTCATAGGCCCAAAACCCTTAACATAAATAACAGTTGTTCAAAAAAGAAAATACAGAAAGCATTGAAAAGAATCAATAGAAACATAGAATATAAACCAATGCAAAGAATCTGAGAGAAAAACAACAAAAAATACAGCAAACTCTAACAACAATAATCCAAATGTAGTCAATATGAGTCACAGTTGGGTATAGAGATTAATGGATAAACATTTATTAATAATAAAACTAAAACATTGAAAAAAAAAAGGAGATAGGTTTATCAATGTAAAATATCATGAATTCTTAACTGCTTTAAAGGATAACTATAGATAATATGCATTGAAAAAATTTATGAACAACTTTTATAATGTCAAATTTCTCATATTTGAAATAGACATCAAACTTAATCAATAAAAGCAAAAATCCAATAAAGACTAAAAGAAATAGAGAAATAACAACCACTTTTATGAACTGAGAAAATGTTGATATTACCTTTCATATCAATCTATTCATCTAACATAATAAATCTAAATAGAGGTTAAAAGGGTCTATATTTTAAATTTTACACTTATTTTAATGGTAAAAATAATCCTTAATCTTTCTTTAGATTTAAGTTATTTACTAATTTTTATCATCATTTACTTTTTCCAAAATACGATATCCAAAAATCTAAAAGCAAGTCGGTAACAAAAATATCATTTATTAAGTATCGATTTGATTTGCTAAATAATTACTAGCAATAAGATTTGAGAATTTACCATGCATGAAACAAATTTTACACCAATAATTATGACAATCAGTACATTAACAATTATAAAATTTATTTTATTTAATAGTGTGTTATCTTTCAATTATATCGTTTTAATAACAGTTGTGCTGTCAAGGAATGATCTAAATTTCTATTGGAAGAAATTGTTTTTGCTACTAAAGGAAGAAGAGGTCGACCTGTGATATGCAAAATATAATGAATCTAGATGAACTATGGTTGTTCGTAGATATTTTAATTTTAAAATAGAGAATCTTCTTGCAAGGATGAGATTGTTTTTTGTGTGCCTTTGTTTGTCAACTAATTCTTCTCATAACAATGAAAACAATTTTTTCTAATAGAAAAAGGATCATTATTAACAGTAGAAACCTGTAAAAGAAAGAGAAAACAGAAAAAAAATAATTATTAATCTCTTTAATGACATTCAAATATTAAATAACTTTAGAAGCACAAATTAAATAGAACTTGAGAAAGACAAATCAATTAAAAATCTAACTTTTGTTCTATCAAAGGAAATATAATACTAAAAATTAAACAAACTCTAGCAAACCCAAACAAAAACAAAGCAAGTCCTCCAAACAAAAACAATGCAAAGCATACCTTAAAAACCCATGTACACTAATGCCAATGCCGAGAGATAAGAAAGAAAAAACAAAATAACAGAATAAATACAAAAAATTAACCCCAAACATGAACAATGCAAACACCCCTTAAAAACCCATGCATAGTGATGCCAATGCCGAGAGCTAAGATAGAAAAAACAAACTAACAAAATAAATACAAAAAATTAAACAAACTCCAAGAAATCCTAACATGAATAAAAAAGATAAAAACATAAATACTCCAGGCAACACTAAGGAGCAAACGAAGAAAAAAAAATTAAACATGAACTCACCCAATAAAATGAAGAAAGATTAACACTAAACAACAACAATGTGCAAAAGTGAAATCTATAATATACCTTAAAAAATCCAAATAAAAAAGAGAAAACAAGATCGAGAGAAAACCCAAAGAGGAAAAGAGAAGCTTCAAGACACTCAAAAGACCACAAAGCCCTCGGTAAAACACAAAAACTTCAAAAAGGCCTTTCAGCTCCTCACCAGCCTCCCTTCCTCCCTAACCCAGCTCGTTTCTTTCTAATTAAGTGCCATGTGTCATTCAATTGAGGTGTCACTTGTCAAACTTACGGAGACCTTTCAAAGCCTCCTTTAATATAGGGGTATAGATGTGATTATAAATAGAATTGTTATTATATTTTTCAACAATAAATTAAATTGTTATTACAAAAATACTATTATATTTGACCATATTTATAATATTTAAAATGCTAAAAAAACCATAGAAGGTCTCAATATATATTTGTAATATAAGTTACTAATAAAGGGTTTGTTTTTGAAAATTTATCTTACTTTCTTAAAAAGTGTAAGATAATTTTATTGAATCAACGGGTTTAACTTCGTTAATTCGAAAAATTTTACATATATTTTTATATTTTCTCGTTTTCAAATATGAAAAAATACTAAAAAATTTACATATATTAAAAATTATCCCTAAATAGGTTAATTGTTGACATTTGTATAGCTTAATTGTTTGGATTGATTTAGATCGAATTGTTCCTAAGACATGGATCGTATTTTGTTATTTGTTGTCCCTACATCAGCTAATTAGTTGATACCTGTATAGTTTGTTTGACACATGGTAGCTTAATTTGGGTTGAATTGTCCTCCAGATATATATAGCACTTTGTTATTTGTTGACGGTGTTTACTTGATTTTTTATATTGATGAAGTTTTGAGTATGTTGGAAGATGTTGAGGGTGATTTTGTCTATTTATGTTTACTTGTTTATTTTTTGTTAAGTTATTTTGGGTGTTTTACAAAAATATTTTGAGCTTTGCTGTCTTCACAGGTTTTATGTGATTTTGGTATTTTAGAGAATGTTGAGGGTTTTTTGGTTTTTTTGCTTGACTTTCTTATTTAGGGTTTAGGGTTTAGGGGAATATGGTTGTCTTACATGGGTATTTTATCTTTCAAGGAGGCAATGATTTTTATGGATTTCTCGACATTTTACTAAGATAGGGGTATTATGGTCTATTCACATGAACTCTCTTCCTTTGTCGGGAATATGAGGTTTAATTTTCAATGAATTCTTGATGTATTTTAAGTATTTCTACTTTGATAACTTGTCTTATTTTAGTAGTTTTATGTTTGTACATACTTTTAATGTCATTATATTCACAAGTAAGTTTAGTTAAGAAAACTTTCATGCCTATTAAATACTAGAATTTCTCCATTATATTTGTGATTCATTTTCCTTAAACCTTAATTGGATAGATTGTTTTATTTTAGTGGTTCTATGTTTCAAAATATACTTTATTGCTTCTATATTGACAACTACCCTTCATAATGTTACTCTCATATGTCATTGGACTTATAAGATAAATGACTAGAGTTGAATAAGTTTGGTTGAACCACAAAACAAATAAGGTTGAGAAACACAATTTATACATAAAAGATCTGAGATAAATAATAATACTAATAACTATACTTAGGAAAGGAGGAAAAAGTGTGGCGAAGGTGATAGTCGCCACTCCTTAATTTTCAATTTTAAAAAAATTATATATATAAAATTTAAGATATATATTTTTGTCATCCTTAATTAAATTAAACAACTTTTTTTGGAATAGTAGTAAGCTTCTCAGTAAAACCATTAATTAGTTTAAGTTTAATTTGTCTTGAACTCTAATTTTAAAATTTTCCCTTTGTTTTCCGCTGGCTAGACTTTTTTCTTATTTTTGTTATACTTTTTTTTCTCTTTTGTTTTGTTGACTATACCTTTTTTTTCTATTATGCTTTTTAACAATATATCATTGTTATCTGTGTCTTAATCGATCCTCACACATGATTGGGATTTTTTTCAATTTTAATTAAATAAAATTTTATTTTTCATTTTTTTTCTCACTCAATTCTCGAGATTTCCCTATAAAAACAACCATCACTTTCTCTAATTAAAATCTCATGTTTTTGTGCCCCTCCCTTTCATTCTTTCACTTATTTTACTTCCTTTCTAGAGTTTTTTTCATTGCTTCTTCTCTTTTTAAAGGTTTTTTTTTATTAGTTCTTTCCCTTACTTTGAAACTTCAAACCAAATAGTGAAAAAAAGTTAAATATCCAAATAAGCTCGTAAATTATGTTAAAAAAAATCAATTTAACCTATGTCCTTTTATTACGTTTAAATAAGTCCCTGAGCTTTTATTTCGGATTAAATAAACCCCTATTTCTAACTGTTGATTAACTTTCATTAGTCAACGGTACATGTGACACTTTTATACCAAATCATTTACCACGTGACAAATGATGTGGCATTAAATATTGTTAATTAAGATTGAGTAAAAGAGTAAAAAAGTAAGCATACAAATCCTAATCAATAATATTTAATGCCACATCATCTGCCATGTAGTAGATAACATGGTATAAAAATGTCACATGTATTATTAATTAATGGAAGTTAGTTAATGATTTGACAGAGAGGCTTATTTGACCTAAAATAAAAATTCAGAGGTTTACTTGAATGCAATAAAAAGATAGAGGTTGAATTGATTTCTTTGATGTAGTTCAGATGCTTATTTGATATTTAACCTAAAATAAAAGTGAAAACAAAAAAAATATATTACTCATAAAGAAGCTTTAAAAAAATTATTTTTTTTATCTTCAATGCTGTGAAATTCATACAAATTAAGTTAATAGAGCTGAATTTCTTAGTTTGGAAACTGATTATAGTTGTTACTTAACTTCGCAATTTATTATAAGCAAGCATCGTAAACATCATACAAATATTGAAATAGTTTAAAATGATAGAAACAACTTAAGTTTGATTTATAATTAATTTTATCTGTTTAAACTTATAAATAAAATTTTTAAATCAATTATTTATAAAATTTTACAAACCCGCTACATAACGCGAATACTTTTCTAGTATTTTAAAATGAAGCATTCATTGAAAAAAAATTAAAAGGCTACAAAAGTATATAAAATTTCAATAATATTTTATAATGCCTCAAAAACTTAAGTTAATAAAATTATATATAAAGTTATTGAAAAAGTATTTATATGTATGTTTTGATTAATTGAGATTACAAATATCACACACAATGGTACTAAAAGTTATTTAAAAGGTTGCAAAATGTTTAAAATTTCAAAAACATGTAGGTAATGTTTCAATAATTTAAGTTATTAAAATCATGTATAACATTATTGAAAAAATATTAACATGTATTTAAAATTTAAGTAACTTGTATGTATATTTCAAGAACTTTATGTTACTCAAAAAAATATAAAAGGGTATTAAAAAATATTTAAAAGACTAAAGAAGTGTCTAAAATTTCAATAATATGTATATTATTTTAATAACTTAGGTTACTAAAATCACCTAAAAGGTTGACAAAAAAAGAGAATTTAAAATGTTTATAAATTGCAGTAACATGTATGTATAAATTATTACTTTAAATTACTAAAATCACCTATAAATTATTAAAAAATATATTTAGAATATTAAAGAAATGCCTAAAACTTTAGTAACTTAGGTTCCTAAAATCAGTATTAAAGTTTCAATAACTTGTGTATAATATTTCAATAATGTAGATTACTAAAATAAAAAAAAAGTTTATTGAAAAGTATTTAACGGTATATAAAATTTCAATAACATGTAATATTTCAATGATTTAGATTATTAAATAGGTACTTAAAATGTATTTGAAATTTCAATAACTTGTGTATATATATATATTTCAATAATTTTATGTTACTAAAATTACATATAAAGTTATTGAAAATGTATTAAAAAATGTTAAACAAGTATCTAAAATTTTAGTAACGTTTAGGTAATATTTCAGCAATTTAAATTATTATAAAATCACATATAAGGTTATTGAAGTGGATTTATTATTAAATTCTTTAACATATAGATTCATAAATTCTTTTAATGTTAAAACAAATATTTTATGTAAAAAAAATATGATTCATATTGTATAAATTTATAACAGAAAAAAGACCATATAATTTGTTCTTAACATTTAAAATTATTAAAAAGATAAAAGTCATTGATTTAAATAATTATATATATATATATATATATATAAATTTAGTATCTGATTTTAGTAACTTAAGAGAAAGCTTTCTCTTCTCTTCTTTTAAATATACATTAGTTTTTCAAAAAATACTCCACTCCCTTCCTTTATAAATCACTCTTTTTAAATGCAGAATCGTGATCTCTCTCTCTTTTACTTTTTTTTATAAAAATTATTAAAAAATAAATAAAAGATCTAGCAATAGAATAGGAAAATTTAAAATTATTTTGTTTTTATAAAGATTAACAAAAAAAAGACTTAAAATTTAAAGCTGTATTCATGTATTATTTAAAATTTTTTTCTCTTTTTCACAGAAAAATCTAATACTATTATTATTATACAAATTTGAGAGTTATTTCGTATCTTTATGGATTTATTTAATTTTAATATCTGAAATTATATATAAACTCGAAATAGATTTGTTTTCCTTTTGTTTATTAGGTGATTGAATATGATATAAATATTTTTATAGTAATTTTAAGTAAAATTAGATATTGTATAATTTATTTTATTAAATAACTCATCGAACAACGTCAACTTAATTTTAAAAATTAGGCTCTATGGTATAATAATTTGTAAAATTGAGTTTTTATATTTTTTAAAATTGACAATGTCGATCCAATCTTTACTGGAGTTAAAATTTTTTGTCATTTTATATTGATGTAGCATTGAATATAATGATTTGTTAATGATGATAGTAGCATTTTTTATCTATTTCACAATATTTTTTTTTCATTGCTTTAAATTGTAAAGTATATAAATTCAATTCTTATATTCTTACTATACTTTTTAAAATCTTATTAACTTATTCATATTTTTTATCTATTTCTTTTCAATCTCGTATAACATCAATAGCTTTTCATTGACAACAAAAAAGAAGAAAAAACTATAAGTGGATATGAATAAAAAATGTAAATAAAATTTATGTTTAAGGTGCGTTTGGGTAATTTAAAGTATTTTTTATTTGACAATAATAAATTTTATGAGACAATCACATTGGATCATCTCATGAGATTGAATATCATATCAATAAGAAAATTCTAATCGATAATAATTGAAGTAATATTCTCAATTTTAAAAAATATATGAATTTTATTTTCACAAATTGTTATATAAAGGCTAAATCAACATTTAACAAAGTACAAAAACTAATTACATAATAGATAATATAAAAATATTATTATTTTTTTTCAGTATTTTTCTTTCGAGCTCCTCCCGTCTAGCTATTTTTTTATTTTTAATAAAATGCTCAAATTAATATTTTTAATATATATCAAGTAAATAAGTTTCCATAAGTTAACAAAAGAATCTTTAAGAGAGTAATTAAGAGACTTAAATAAATAAATTTGAAAAAATCATATTAATAATAAATAAATAACTAATCACTTATCAATAAAAGAATTTTCATGAGATTCTTTTAATAATATAAAATAAAACTAAAATATATTTTTTAACAAATTATTTTATAAAAAGTAAATAACTCGTCAGAAACTTTTTCAATTTTAGGGACTCAACTGTGACAAATGAAAAGTTGAAGTCTTGAAACTTGAAACACTGCTGTGGTAATTTAATTCCTTCTCCCCTTGTTTTTGTTTTGAAGTCCAAACCCCATAACCCTAATCATAACCAGTGTCTCTCTCTCTCTCCGTCTAATTTCCTTCGACCTTCACCAAAACCATTTTCTATGGAGGTTTCTCCGTAGTTGCCGAAGCATTCGTGTCTGGTAAGTACTTTCCCTGAAACATTCAAACATCCTTTTTGGTTTTATTCAATGTTCAAATTTATTTTCCAAAAGGGAAGCTTCTGTAGCCTTATCAGAGCCGCACGCAATGTAATGATTCTGATTTTTTCATTGGCTGTCGATAAAGCTTGAATATTTTGGGTTTTTCCCTCTTTTTTGATTTACGTGATGCAATTTTATCGTGTTCTAGCCTGTTCCTCCAGGTCCCTTTGCTAGGAGCAAATAACCTTCCTTTTTAACTTCCTAGTTCAAATTATATCTGGAGCGCTTGCACCAATAATGCAGCCTCCTTTGCTTCGCAAGGAGCCTTGTCGAGTTCTGCAAGTTTTTCTTTTAGTCCAAATCCTCAGTTGATTCAGAATGATCAAATTCAACCCCCTAAATCTGTGAGACAATGATAAAACTACTGAGTTCCAATTTCGCCCCATCATACTCTACCTAAGTGCTCAAAAACTTGTACTAATTGTTAATTTTTGGCTTATGATTAGGTCAAACTTTAAAATGTTGACTGCTAGTAGGCTTTCAGTAAACGCATATGGTTTTGAATAAATTTTTCACGAAGCTTGAAATTACTGTATTTGTTTCAAGTTTTTGTTTTTACAACTGTTCTTGGGCTGCTGTTTACAGTGCAATGATAGCATCCTTAAACTTGAATTCTTGGACTATATTACAGCCCAACAGACTATCCTAGATATATCTACAAAATCATCTTGTCGGTGCCCCAAATTAATTGCTACTGAGTGCCTCAATTTCAGCCTCTACTTATAGTGATCAAATCTATATTCAATGAGTGGATTCCTGGTGCAGTAGTTGACATTAATTGACATTAAGTCAGAACTCCGTATCATGTTTCCTGTCCAGACTTTGGAATTCTGTTCATTGTTCTCCTTTTAGATCTATCTAATCCAGCTCTCAATTCAGTACTCTACTGTTTGCAAGATGATGTCTATCAATTGCTTATGAACCTGCAGAATGAATTTGATATGGAGTTTTTTTGTATGCCAGTGACTTATGATTTGAACCTTTTCGCTGATTGCAGGATACACTAGATACTGTTACAAGCTATCGCTGCATCATCGACATTAACTATATTTCACACTGGCCCATCGCCTGTCCATAGCTTTTCAAATTTTACAATGAATGCATCTTCCACTCCCAATTTTGCCCCAGTAACTTCATGGATGCCCACCACTCAATCTTTTCCCATGTCTACTGAATCTTCTGGAGCTTCAGGGACAGCTGGACACGCTGGGTTAGTACCGTCTGTTCAGATGATTACTGCTTCTGCAGCTGTGGATTCTCCCTCTTCTGCAGTCCCTAGACCCAGTGCTCCTGTTTCATCAAATCAAGCTGTTCAGCAACAAATATATCCAACCTATACACCCCTACCTTCTATGGCTTCTTCCCCTCAGGGATTTTGGATGCAACATCCTCCAATGGCTGGCTTCCCCAGGCCTCCATTTGTTCCTTATCCTACGATTTATCCTGGACCCTTTCCTTCAGCATCAAGTGGTATGCCTCATCCAGCACATTCATCTGATTCTCAACCTCCTGGTGTTAGTCCTCTGGCAACAAGTCCATTTGCACCATCAATTGCTATTCCAGCTAACCAGTCATCGGTTGCTTCGGGAATACAGACAGGGTTACCTCCTCAAGGAATTGGTACGCTCAGGGTTTCCATGCTAGATTACTGATCAACTAACAACGTAAGAGCTGTTTAACCTTCATTAATTAACATGAAGTTAATTTTTTCTTCATCCATATCACATGGGGTTCTGCAGATAACAGGAATGTTGGCACCAGGGTTGAAGCTGCTGTCAATGAACAATCGGATATCTGGACTGCCCACAAGACTGATACGGGGATTGTCTATTATTATAATGCATTAACAGGAGAGTCGACATATGAAAAACCAGCTGGGTTTAAGGGGGAGGTACATGTAGTTGGGGATATGCATGCATGTGTTTTGCAATAGTTACTTTGTTGGTGTGCCTAGCATCAAGCTGTTTTGCATTTTTTTTTTTTTGGGATTGCTTGCACTTAAAGTGACTGTGACACATATTCAACAAGTTTCTCAAATATTGGCTGATTTTCTTGGATTGATGCCCTAGGAAATGTCCTATATATTAAGGCAGCCAGAGAATGTTGGAGTATCAAACGCAAATTATATGATGGTTTGTTAGTTAATCCTAAGATTCCACATTGTTTAACTGGTTAGACACTCAAGAAATACTGGTAAAAACTCTATATATATATATATATATACAAACATGCATATTTGCATTTGTGTGTACTTGTGGAGGGCTATGATATATTTCAAGCTCTCCAATGGTTGCCATTTGGAGCTTCAAAATCAGTTTCCATAGATCTTGTCTGTAGAAAATTTTCTATCACCCTTTTAGTCATTGAATGTGGATTTTCTGGTGGCTTCTTAAATGCTAATCCAGATTAATTTTCACCTCTTCTTCTTTCACTTATGCATGCAGCCTGACAAAGTGCCTGTGCAGCCAACTCCAGTTTCAGTGTAAGTTCTTAACTTTCTGGCAATCTTTATTCACCTCCACTCTTGTATGTTTGTGTGTGTGTGTGTGTGTGTATTGTTAGGTATCGCTAGCACTATTAAAGTATATGTTTGTTCTTGCTGATGTTTCGAAATTCAATCTTCTATTCTTAAATTTTATTCTCTTTGAGCAACCTACTATTACTGTGGCTAGGCTATGTCAGCACTGTGGCATGACATTGCTGAATGCGCTGTGCAGCTTAATCTTTGTTGTTAGGATAAAATGAACCCTCAGTTTTCCACTTCAATACCTTCAAACCACCTTTCTGGTTCCTTTTTTTTTTTCCCTTAGGTTCATTATCAAACATCCCTTGTTCATACACATTTGAAGAGCTATTTGCTTATATAATCATGTCTTCTATTTTCTTCTTTTTTTCTAGAGAGAGAAATTTATTACCTAAATATTAAAATTATAATATAAGTAAATAAATTATTCATTTAAATTTTATTTTTATTATTGGATAATGTTGTAAATATTTTCAAAATAAAAGTAGTAATTATGCAAATATAATAAACTGTTATTGTAATATATCCTTATATCACTCGTACTTATTCAAAATTATAATATATAATAATTCAATTCTTAAATATTAGCAATATATATTATTGTCTCATTATAAATATATATTCTTTTGAAATTTGTCTCATTATATTAGTTATGTTATGTTTGTATTTTCTATTTACAGAATTTTTTTTTATGTTTATAATTATGAAAAGAATACAGTATAAATAAGATCAATATAGATTTACATTTACAAATAATTTTTAATATTATATTAATATAAATATAATTATTTAAGAATATGAGAAGACGTTCTAGTGTTTGTTTGAAATCTTATTAATTAGTATTGATACATTAAGCATTATTGTGTTAAAAACATTAAAATCATATATTTATAATTATTTAATCATTATAAACATTAAAAAAATGGAATAACAAATTTTAAATCTCATGTTCTAATAGCTGAAGTTGTCTCCTGGTTACTATAACAAATTGTTGAGTGTTTTTAGTTCATCATGAGCTGCTAAATTACATATAATGCAAGTGAATGAACTCTCAAACCTGATTCATGGGCTTATGGCTTGTACAAAATGTTGAGATGGACCTTGGATTTTAACACTATATTATTGTTAAGCCTTTTCCAGTATTTTAGTTTTTACTTTCTTTTTGGTTTGGATTTCTTTTTCTTCATCTTTCACTATCTTGAGGAAGCCTCGCAATCTTGATATATTTTCTTCATAATGCCATGCTTTCTTTTTACAGGGAGCAATTGGCAGGAACAGATTGGGCACTGGTCACCACAAGTGATGGCAAAAAATATTACTACAACAGCAAAACCAAGGTAGTGTATCAAGTTTTAATTCAATATCTAGCCTGTTTTTTTCTCTGATGGAATTCAGTAGGTGAGAATTGGAAAATGCAAGGGATTTTTATGACATATGGTTGTTAAAATTTATAGACAACATGCGATAATAAGATCAAAAGAAAAGTAAACTGTTGACTGAATCAATATTTTTGTATCTGATATGTTGTTGTATTTTTTATATCATGGTAATTGGTTTGTTTGCTCTTTTTACCCTAATCTATAACATATCATTTATGTTTCAAAATATCTCAAGCAAACCCAGATATAGCACAGAGCCAATAGAGTTTATATCCAGTTCTTTTTGAAATTATTTCTAATAAATTTTGAATTGTAGAAATATGCACGGCTCCTCACTGGCTTATTTATATTTAGGAAGAGATCCAACTTAAACAAGCTAAAGACCATCAAATGACTTGCTAAGCTCAAGATAAAACCCAAAATAGTGAATGTGTAGCACTCTTGGCCACCGGAACTTAATGATTAATAACTTTTAAGGACACATTCAACCGGACTTACGGATTATTTTTTGTTGTTGAAATAGTTATAAGTTCGATCTTTGGTTTCCAAAGAGCTTAGTCTCCCAAAAATCTTAAAATTGTTTTAAATTGAATGAACTTGTTGATGGACCGTCTCATTTTAGTATGGCCATCATTCATATTGAGTTTATAATTTGCTATGTGGACATACTAGCATATGTTCATATGGTTACATGCTAAAGTTTAGATGCCTTTATTTAGATATAGTGTTTTCTCTTATGCTATATGCTCTTTGTTTTATATTTCTTTTGTTGGTTTTTCTTTGAAAGCAATTACTTTTCATTTTTGTATGTTTTCTATTTTTAAAATTTTATCATTTCTTATTGTTTTCTTTTTGATAATTGAACTAGACACATGGTTTCTACCATGTGAGTACACTTTCAGAAAGTATAAAGTGGTTTTTCCCATTATAACATATGTTTAGGATGGTGCTAAGTTGTTCAGTCATTGCTTTGTGATAAAGAAAATAGATTTAAAGGTTATGAATAGCAGTATGGTGGTAATTGGGGTGCTTGGAATTTCATGTTATTACAGTATGGAAAAGCACTGTCTTTACAGTGGTGTATGAAAGTTTGGATCGTAAAACCAACCTTTTTCCTAAAAAGGGTGGTCTGTTATCTCCATGGTATATGAACTTTCTCCTATTGAAATCCAAAAAGAGATCTTAGTGTGTTCATTTACATATTATTCTCTCTATTTATAATGTTAGTCCATCTTTCCATTTTTGATTCTCTCAATTTTGTTCAGCAGTAAAAGTAAGCAACATCAATTGTGTTTTAGAAGGATGACAGATTGAATAATTGTTGCTCTAATAGGATGACATATTTCCATTTGAAGACAAAACATAATAAATAATTGAGGTGACTTATGCATAAATTGTCTCATTCATCAAGCCTTGTGCATTTTCAAAAAAGACAGATATTGGCGTGTATATACCATATTCCTTTAAGCTCCATTTGCTTCTGACAATGTGCATGATAGGTTTTATACTGTTTTTGTGTTTATAAAGCCACGTTTTATGAAATTATCAATTTGTAATTCTTTTACTTTTCTTGGTGCTCTACTTAGTTTCACCTTTTAGGATGCGAGTAAACTTACAAGGAAACAAATATTGAACATCTATATCACTGCTAATGCTCATTGAACTTATTTGTATTTCCTAGTTATTGATATTTTTCCCTTTTTTACATTGTGTGTTTTCTTTTTTTTTTTTTCAATCAGATTAGTAGTTGGCAGATCCCTAGTGAAGTAGCAGAGTTGAGAAAGAAACAGGATAATGATTTTTCAAAGGAACATGCAGTGCCAGTACCAAATATTGATGTTGTGGCAGAAAAAGGATCTACTCCAATAAGTTTGAGTGCTCCGGCGGTTAACACTGGTGGTCGTGATGCCATGCCTTTAAGAACCTCAGTGGTGCCAGGTTCCTCATCTGCACTGGATTTAATTAAGAAGAAGTTGCAAGACTCTGGAGTTCCTTCTTCTTCATCACCTGTTCCAGTTATGCCAGTAACAGCAGCACAAGAATTAAATGGCTCAAGAACAGTTGATGTTAAGGGCTTGCAAAGTGAAAACAGCAAAGATAAGCTAAAAGATGCTACTGGAGATGGTAACATATCTGATTCCTCTTCAGATTCTGAGGATACAGACAGTGGACCTTCTAAGGAAGAGTGTATTATGCAATTTAAGGTATCTGTAGTGCTATAGTTTGTTGCATATTCCAAAATTTGGCTATTCTTGGTTATATTGCTGCAGTTTGATTTTGTAGCTGTAGTCTATTTGTTTATCATGCAAGTGAAATTTACAGGAAATGCTTAAAGAACGGGGAGTAGCACCATTCTCGAAATGGGAAAAGGAACTACCAAAGATAGTGTTCGATCCACGTTTTAAGGTTTGTTGAGACTAAAGATTTTGTATTACTTTTTCTTGGTAATTATGGGTGCCTTCCCTGTTGCTGAAATTCCTTGAGTCTTGTTTAGTGGATTCATTAATTTGTGCACTTTAGGTGGGACTCATTTCTGTATTCTGGGTACATTATCTTTTTGTATGTCTATTCAAATGGGTGATCTATTTTGTTGAAGGGCATTTTTAAGAGGGGACCTTTTATTGTACCCTTTATTTTTAATTTGTTTTCTTGGATGAAAGGATCCTTTCCTGGTAAAGATCCTTGTTTTTAAAAAAGTTTAAGCAGAAGTCTTCCTTTTATTTTTCTTGCCGTGTTAAAACATTGAACAGAATGACAAAATGATGGTTTATGTATGCAAATGAAGAAAGCTTACAAGGCTGTTATTATTAAAGTAACATGTGTGTTCTCTTTGTTGTTACACTCTTTGAGTTGGTAATAGATTTAAGATTTCTTCCTTGATGTGCTTCATTATGAAGTCCTCCTGTTGAGCATAATATTAACTATTGACTAGCAGGTTTGCTTGGAATTCTAATTGGTAGAAGTGCATCCTATTGCAGGCTATTCCAAGTCATTCTGCTAGGAGGACCTTGTTTGAACACTATGTTAAGACGCGTGCTGAGGAGGAACGGCGAGAAAAACGAGCAGCTCTGAAGGCTGCAATAGAGGGATTTAAGCAGTTGCTGGATGAAGCATCAGAGGTTTCATTAATTTCTAAGAATTGAATGTCATCATTTGTCAGCTGTGGTAAACATCCTACTTCTTTGAAATTGTTGAACTGTAGATTTCTTACAGGCTGATTTTCACTCTACAGGATATTGATCACAACACCAATTATCAGACTTTCAAAAGAAAATGGGGAAGTGATCTGCGATTTGAGGCTTTGGATCGTAAGGATCGCGAGCTTCTATTAACTGAAAGGTAATGTTACTAAGATAGACTCCACTCTTTCTTGATTTAATTTGTGCTGCTTTGCCTAGTTGTGCCAACCTGCTGTATCTACTTGGTTGTAGTGGCCATGGTGCTTTTACAATTGCCTAATGCAAAGAGAAATGTGTGCTTGGGCTTTCCTGAGTGCTTTAATTGACTAAAGTTTTTCATAACTTGTCAAAATTTTACTAAAAGAATTTGAGTTGTTTATTGTTGTAGAATATAGATGGATGGTGCTATTTTCTTATCTTAACTTTGCCTTGCCCTCCTTTTTTTCTCTGTTTTCTTTTAGATCTCTCAAATTTGATGGTAAACATTTGGTAATCAACCTTTTCTTTCCCTCCCTTGCTTCCTCCCTTCATTCCATCATTCCCTCTCTCATGCAAACTTATGCCTGCAATGCTCACACAAAAGCTATTGCACTGGCAGGCATGTTTCAAGACACACTTAGAGAGATATGCATATGTCTAATTGAGCACTTGTGTTTTTACCATTGCAACAAGAGAAACAAGATAATTCTGTATCTAGCTGTGAAGATCCCTGTTTAGACAATATTAGAACTTATATTATATGATGCTTATAAGCAATTAGTGGGGCTGTGGTTGGGTAGTAGAAGAGTCTATGGCACTAATGTGAAAGAGCTATTCTTCTAAAACATCTATTGATCACCACAGTATTTCACGAGCTGGACATGCATCCTGGACACTTTAAGCTGTTAGTGTTTTTGCACTACTGTTAGCTTTTACCCTTTGATTTTTTTGGTAGACTTAGTAGACTAAAACATACTCTTTTCTTTCCTTTCCCTTTTTGGTTTCTTTTTATTATAGAAGTAAGATAAATGGCCTAGTCATATCTGCTGCTCACATCCAAATTCCTGTTTTGATCTCCCTGCACAACATGTGTTAAATCTCCACTGTGCTATTACAATTGTATATGATATTCTTTTGACTCAATCCTTATTAAAATGTATGTCGAACTTGTTCGGTTGTCCCTAGATAGAGGAAGTGTTCTAATGATAAACCTTGAAAGCAACATTTGTCAGCAGGTAGTAGGCTAGGGCCCAGATGCTCATATTCAATTTGGATTTGTCCTTTAGCCCTTGATCTCTTTTGGTTTGAATGGTAAATGTCTCATTTTTTCCATATACTTTTATCATACTGGTTATGACATGTCTTTGCTTTTGTGTCAGGGTTCTTCCTTTAAAGAGGGCTGCTGAAGAAAAGGCTCAAGCTATACGTGCTGCTGCTGCCTCTAGTTTTAAGTCCATGCTTAAAGAGAAAGGAGATATAACTGTTAATTCCCGTTGGTCCAGGGTATGTGAAAATATAAATTGGGTTATTGGGTTTTTCATACCCTCTGGAGAGTGTGTTCTTCGACATTAGGCATCTTATATATCTTTTGTCTTGTTGAATTGGAATTTACTGGGACCATTCTTTTTGTTGAAAGTTTTTTGGCATCTTCATTGGATTGCTCATGTTTGTGTGTGAGTGTGCAGACATGTAAAAGAGAGAGATATCTTGGTTGTTATATCTTTTATGAGTGTGCCTTATGCTGGGAAATATGGCCCACTTTCTCACCTTTATATTTTTGGTTGTTTCAGGTGAAGGATAGTATAAGGGATGATATGAGGTATAAATGTGTTAAGCATGAGGATCGGGAGGTTTTGTTCAATGAGTACATATCTGAACTAAAAGCTGTAGAAGAGAAAGCAGAACGAAAGGAAAGAGTGAAAAAGGAGGAAGAGGTTTATACTCTCTCTCTTGCTCTCTCCTTCTGGCATAAATTAACTGGTATTGCATGTTGGTTCTAATGTATCAGGTTGTGCATGTTAAACTTCACTGTACCCTCATGACCCATTAGTTCTTCTGCATGTGGAATTGTTCTGCCATATATGTATTAACAAATCTGATGTTCTTTTATCTGCTTCATAGATGTTTTTTGTATAAAAGGAGTGATGGATGAAGTATTAAGCGTATGGTTTGAAAATTTCTAATAAGAGACTTCATTTTGAAAGGGATTTTGAATTCTAATATCTCAAATTGCTTTTTCATCTAAAACAATGATTGAATTGGCTTTTTCCTAAGGTTAATTTATGGTCTCACATCATCGCTTGAAATAATGTGCAAAGTGGTGTCATTTCACATTTCCATAATAGAAACATGACATTAGAATGGATGAAGGGGAGAGATATACTCTCAAACAGACCTTCTAGCCATTGGTGGACTGTTTCCAGGTACTGGTTCTGTCCTCCTTCGCGAAGCTATTGAAGCCTTCTCTACCTCATGAAATTCAGTGATATTAGATTTGCATTTTTTTTTCCTTTCCACTCATCTCTCCTTAGAACTCTATTAAATTCTCGCAGCCACAATTTTGGCAATTTAACTTCTCTCTCTCTCTCTCTCTCTTTGCTTTGTTCTTGCCGCACATGTACACACTTAACTTCCTATTTTGGCTCTGGTGATGGTGTTTGCTTGTGGTTTTGACATTATAGAGATGTTTTAGTGGTGTTGGAAGGTTCGGATGATCTTACAAGTGCAGCTGGATGGTGTTTATACAAGGATGCACAGCTATGAATTGCTGAGCAACAAAAGATAGAATTAAAAATTGAGTTGTTTCTCAAATAGATTCCAGCGTGCTGCATTTTTTATTCCCTTGATTCAGCATTCTTAATAATTTTGGGAACCCTCTTCCTAGCACCGCTTAAAATTTCTTTCAAGAATGGGCTAATAGGCATGGAACGTATGGCCCTATGATAAATTTTGTTTGTGGGAATATTTGAACAGATTTTTATTTTAACGAGTCAGACAAAAGAGATTAGACAACTCTTCTCTAAGAAGCTTCCTAAATGATAGATCTGTTTATATGTAAGAGAAGGCTGATGTTATTATGCTTTTTGTTTTTCTAATTTTAGCCAATGTGATAACATATTCATGTCATTTTTAATTTCTTACTTTGATTTGTTGTTTGTTTTAGTAGGGCATTCTACAAATATTAAAGAAGACAGTCATGTATAATCAGAATTGCCGAAACTATTTGAACAATTTTGACCTTTTATTTATCATTTGCAGGAGAAGCTGAAGGAAAGAGAGCGTGAGTTGCGGAAAAGGAAAGAGAGAGAAGAACAAGAAATGGAAAGGGTGCGGCTAAAAGTTCGCAGGAAGGAGGCGGTTGCATCTTTTCAAGCTTTGCTTGTGGAAACAATTAAAGATCCTCAGGTATATACTATTCTCTAACAATTTATTTCTGGATGATACAAGACTAAAACAACTAATATTTTAAATATATTTGATGCATGGCCATCTGTATAGTTCCATAATCCGAGGTCTGTTCCAATCTCATTCACTTATTTTCCCTGTTTTATAATTTGTGAATAGACTGTTTTTTTTTTTACATTGCCAGTAATAGAAGCTGAATGGCCTTTCAAAAAAAAAAAAAAGAAGCTGAGTGAACAATTAAAATATAGTTAATTTTGAAGTCTGGATATGTAAGAATGTAAGTATTTATCCTTCATACTGGGTAGTAAGTTCAATTTACTTGTCCTGTGTTGAGTATACAGTTTTATTTCTCAGGAAGTAAGCCGTAAGTTTCCTAATTGGGTTTTTAATGTGAAAGACAAAGGCGTCAAGAAAAGTCAAAATTGAGTTTTTAGAATACCCGGAAATATGGCCTTCATTAGGTGTTTGAATGATTCAAGACTTTATTTAAGTTAGAATAGATAAGAATAACCAAGTCTTTTCTCACTATATGGTCGTGTGGCATTGCTAAACTAGTATAATATCCAATTTGAATCGGTATCATTTAGTGTATTTATTTTTTTATTATTATGATATGGACGAGGCATTCATTTATAATCCTGTCAGATGTAACTAACTGCCCACCTTTTTCTTTCAAGATTATGTTTTAAGTTTCTAATATGTTTGAGAATTCAAATCTTCTTGAACCCTCATTTTTGGTTGGCTCATTTGAAATTTGACTAGTTATTCACTTCCTGCTTCTATTAATCTTCATAGGCATCTTGGACGGAGTCAAAGCCTAAGTTGGAAAAGGATCCTCAGGGACGTGCAGCGAATCCTGATTTAGATGCATCGGATACGGAGAAGCTCTTCCGTGAACACATAAAGATGCTGTTTGAGGTAATTTTGCAACTATATGTTTTCAATATGCTGATGAAATTATAAGACAATTTGTAATACAGTCCTGCAGCTCCCATTTATTTTATTTTTTTGAAAGGCTGCTGCTCCCATTTATAGTTAATGCTAAGTAATATCTTTTCCTACTCTAGTTCTTTTGGCAAAAGCAGCATCATGTTAATTAGTTCTTTCCAAAATATGCATTTACCCAGTATAGGCGTGTGCGCTATGATGTTATATGGGTAGCATATGTGGTGAAGATGAATTTTTAAAGGACTGCTGTTTCAAAGAAGCTTCTCAGTAAATGTATTCATTACATAGGCTTCAGGTCTTCTGATCCAAATCTATTTTGATTGTCTTTTAATCCAAACACAGTCTTTTCTGTTATTTGGTGGTTTGGTGAGGATCACAACCGTCTTTGGTGAATGTTGCAGCCAAGTTGAGGGTTACTTGTTTCCTTATTAGACATGAATAAAGCCACCGATATCTCACATACCAAAGTGGGTTAGTAATATCTGTTAATAATTTTTTTGTCGTCTAAGTTTGGTGAGATATCATAATGATGTTTCGCTTCAAAAGTTTTAAAAATTTACATTTCTCTCTTAAGTTGCCCTAAAAATATATATTTATCCCCTTGAAAAATGTATATGGTGGCTTTTATAATTATTATTTTTTAAAATGACATCTCTAGGGAAAAATTGTATGGAACAGGAAAGAAGCCTCATCCTGTTATTTTCGGTTGGCTGCATGGTTTTTGTTGTGCCATTCTTCCCTATTTGAGACCTTAAGCAAGGTCCTTTTATAGTTTCCACTAATGTTTTCTTCAGTCTTATACTTTTCTTTCATGACATGGTTATTCTCTATCAAGTCACATCTTCTTACTGGAGTATTTGTAGTTGTAGGTGTTCCTGTGTTTCTATCTCTCATTTGTCCTCAATTGGTGTTATTCTCATTTTTCCTCAAATGCATTCAGTTTTAATTTTATCCTTCCTTCTGCACAAAGACATCCATCTTGGCATTCTCATCACAGCTACAATAGTTTTCTGCTTAGGTCAGTACTTGGCTGTAAAAGATTAAGTGTCATGAAGAAATGCAAGTCTTACCATTGTCCTTAACTTTACCATGAGTTAAAAAGCTACTGATGCATATCACTACTTCACAATCTCTTTTCATCATATTTGGTTAGAACTTATTGGTGTTGAAAGCAAATAGCAAAAGGAATTTTTGTCCTTGCCCAAGTTTGTTATTGTAACTTTAGGTGACCTAAATGCCCTATTAGTCTTTGTCCAGAAAAAATAAATGCCCTATTTGTCATATATTGTATACTTGCACTCTCAACTGTTGTTAATAGGACTAGATCTTTAATGGCCACTTATAATTTATCATTCTTTGATGGACAGTATATTGGTTGTAGAATTACAAGCATGGTTATGGCACCTTCTTGACACTCATTGCTTTAAAAGACTTAAATTATTTTCCTTTACTAACAATAATTATCAAAGTTTATTGACCAGAGAACATAATGGTGTCTTTGGTCATAGAAATGTGCCTTTTCTGTTTCTATTGTCAATAAAAATAAAAAATTATAGTGAAAATGTGTTTGTGACTGGTATTGAAAGATGTGTTCACAATTATGAGCCAAAATGAAAAGGATGGCTATATAGTCTCAATTTCTGCTTTGTACTATGGCCGTGGTGTGGATTTGAACCACTTCTAGAGACATGAAAACATATACCAAAAGAGTTACTCCCATTTCAAGTCAACTTCTTGTGCGAAATGGCAATAACACTCAATCATGTTTGAGGTCTAGCTGACCAACACTTTGGTTGATCAGACTTGTTTACTTTCAACGTTGATAATACCACTAAAATGTGGATCAGATGTGATGTGAATTAGGTTGATATGATATGATATGATACTTACACATGCACACGTGTGCACGCACACTCACACACTCTACTGATTTCCAAAAGTGCAGAAATTAATCAATTATTTGTTTTATTACATCAGCTTAAGTAGGGGATGGGATGCATGGCTTATTTGTCAAAGATGCATGGTAGATAAAAAAAGTTAAAGAAGTTTTTAACCAGCCCTTGGATTGTTTATGGAACTTTTCTGAGTTTGGTTTGACAGATTGGTTGTAGAACCAATGTATCTGATATTCACTATTTGTAAATTATGATTGTTTAATCATTACACTAAGAAAATAATAGTAAAGTCCACTCTGATTTACAAGTTTCATTATTTTCAAAGCACTAACACAATTCATTTTTGCTAATTTCATTCAAAGACTCAGGTTTTTGGTTTGTCACCAAATACATTTTCCCAAAATTAAGAAACTAATTGGAACTCTCCCAGAGAATTGAAATAGGAAATGGTTTCAAAAACCAACTTCATCCTAAACCTTAGTAAATTTAATGTCATTGAGACGGGGTTCTTTTCTCTTTCTCTTTCTCTCCCTCTGTGTGTGTGTGTGTGTGTGTGGAATCTGATATGAACTCAAGTTGTTGTTGAAGTTACCCTTTTACTTGATCAGTTTTTGGTGTCTTCTTGGTATAATTTAGAGTAAAAAGGACTATTGTTATCGTCTACATTTTGTGTTGTGTTGGACAAACGGTTTTAGGGACAGAAAATAGAAAGTTTGCCTGATTTTAAGAGACAGGGTATGGTCCTTGTTTGTTTTGTGTGCATCTTATATAAGTGCCCTAACAGTAAGAGCAAGTGGTTGCATGTGCTATCTTTCCGTCATGAATTCTTTTGATCCTGTCAAAGTAAAAGTTCGTCATGCATTTTTTTTACAAGTGCAACTACGCCCAGTGCTTTTAACTTTTAAACCTATAGATAAATTGCTCCTATGTTTCCTTTGATTTAATGCAAGCAGAATAAAAACCATGTAGGGATAAACTGAAGATCTCATGGGTTAAAAGACAATCTCTATAGTTCTTAGTTTGGGTTCGAGATCTAGTTGATATCATTATTTTTCTTTTTAGTGAAATAATTCGTAACTCTAGATAGCTTCCCTTTCCGTGTGATAATGCCTAAAAAAGTTACTGGGTGTCATGCTTTTCTCCTTTGATTTCTTTGGACTGATTTACAGTGGAATTTTTTTCAATTTAAAGCTCTCAGTTGCTGAAGTTTGATAATTATCAGCATGGGGAAAGTTATATGGTTGAAGTTAAAACACTTGCAAGTGTTCTGTTTGTTTACCAGTAACAGAAATGGAAGGGTGTGATTTAATCGTGGCCCATCTGAAGTATGGTCACCATATTTAGATTAATTTGATTCTTTTGTAACTTATAAGTTATTTATACACTATTTTTCAAGGGGCAACAACTATGAACATGAACGTTTGAATAATCATCTGACATAACCCTTTTATTTGGCCTTTCTAGAGATGTACGCATGACTTCAGAGCTCTTTTAGCTGAAGTTATAACTCAAGATGCAGCTGCCCAAGAGACAGAAGGTGGGAAAACAGTCTTTAATTCATGGTCAACAGCCAAACGTCTTTTAAAGCCTGATCCCAGGTATAGCAAGATGCCGAGAAAAGAGAGGGAAGCTTTGTGGCGCCGGTATGCTGAGGATATGTTGCGGAAGCAGAAGGTGGCATTAGATCAAGAGGAAGAGAAACGCACAGATGCAAAAGGCAGAAGCTCTGGTGATTTGGGTAGATTTTCATCAGGTTCGAGGAAAGTCCATGAACGAAGGTAGCTTGATTTCTTGGGAAACTAGTTGTTTGTAGAATTTACTGATTTTTTTTTTTTTTGCTTTTGCTATACATAATATATATATATTTAAAAGAATTAGCCTGATTTAGTTCTTGGGGCTTTCCCCATGCTATTTCCGGAGGAAGAAAATGAATGGTTCAAAACAAAAAGATATTCACCCATTGATTTCAAATCTTGTGCACCATAGCAGACATGGGGTGCCTTCTCTGATCATTTGGGATGTGTATATAAATTAACCTGCTTATCCTTCCAAAATTCCTGTTTTACAAGAAAGAAGTGTTTAATCTTTATATTAGACTTAAATTTTTCATAATATTTGTTCTATTCTTATATACTTACCATTTTATTCTACAAATCAAACATGCCATTTGTCATGACTCAAATTGGGAAGCCGTGATCGACATGCAAGAGCTTGGGAGGCAAACTCGTGAGATCTAAAAAAGTCTTCAGACATACATCTTGGTTAACACATTTCATTCATAACAATGCCTTGCAGCCATCATCATTTGCATACAATCATCTTATTTTGATATTTAATACTAAGCCCTATTGGCTTTTGAGTACATAAACATTGTCATGTCATTGATCATATGGTCATACGTTGGTTAACTCATTCAGTTGTTTAAACTTTACAATACATGAGACACAAGGCAATGCAGTGTCCTCATAATCCATTAATATTGTGCGGAAGCATATATCATAACTGTGACTCAGTGGAGTAGACTCGTTAGTAGGATAATTCACTAGATGCCAAAATACGTGTTTGTCTAGACAACAATGCTAAGCCACTCGAATTTCGATGTTTATTTATCTACATAAGACAATCAAAGGGGTGAGTCAGATTAATACTTAGTGAGTGGGAGTATAAAATCGAAAGTAAATGTGCAGGGATAGTGATAACACATTGTCCAACGTAAATACATTACAGCCGATGAAACATATGCACAATGAAACAGGTCAGACATCACCTGTCATGAACCTTTTATCATTATCATGGCAGTCATACTACATTGTTTACATATATGTATTTAGCAAACAAGGGTATGGTAGTCTATTCTTGCAGTACCTTACCAAACTTATCATCCAAACCATTTATCGGCCTTGTCCATCATATAAATCGACTGACCATAGGGTCTTTTATATACATGACTGGTATACTTACCTCATAGGCGCTCACATTGATGTTAAAATCCTTAAAACTCCATAAAGTTTGCATTGCATCATTTTCGTTTGACATACAAGTATGGCTCTTACCTCAAGCCTTTATATTCATCATAATTCATAAGCATAGCATAACACAGTTCATATTTTCACATCTTAAGGCTTGCCATTACGTAGTCATAACATCATATCATAGAGTGGTTATCCCTGGATATAATAATCACGTACGGTGGTCAATTGACAGACAACATAGCATCATCATGTTATGTTTAGTGCCGAAACAATTGGCGAAAAACAGTCATCATTTAGAGTATTCTCAATGGATGGTATCATAGCACTACAGGCGGCAATTATAGGCCAGATGAAACCACCATCCCTGTAGGCTAAAGTCATAGTCACAAGGGGAGATTCACTCAAGCTCATATCACATCATTATTCGAAATCATCCACGGATGGATCGTACATTTCATCATGACATAATCGATTATACATATTCATACCATAATCTCATCATATCATCATTAATTTAATTGTATCATCACATTATCATAATCATTAATCATGGTGCTAGCATGTAGTTCATTCCTAGAACACCAAACATCGTACTTTAATTTCATCTCAGAAGCATAATTATAAGCGCATTACTTTACTTAGCTTAGGTACAATCCTTCGAGGCAATTCACATGACTTTCATAGCATATGCTAGTCTAAACACAACATTTCTAAACATACATAACACATAACATTCATACTATCATTGGGAGCATATATGCACACTTAGGCATCATGCTCCTAGTTCATAAAAATCCTTACTCACTTTGACACTCTAGGTGTCCCTCTATCAACCTTCTGCTTGTAGCTCAACGATGCCTCAGCTGTAATCCACGCAATTTAGTATTTGGATAGCATTCTTACTCCCATAGAAATCTAACAATCAATAAATGCATAATCATCATTATTCATGTCATTAGTCTCTATTTCATAGCTAAACTCTAGCTTTCAAATTATTTCTAACTTTCAAAATTGCTCAATCTATAGCAAATCAACATACTATGCTCAAATCCTTTAAATTCTCCAACAATGGGCTTAATCTTTAGCTTAGTTACTGATTTGGCTCACTTTAAATCCCAAATTCTCAGCAACACTCTACACACACAGTCACTAAAGCTAAAACATAGGATTTTTACATTATAAACCATTTAAATTGAAAATTAATCAGTCAAAGGCTTTAATCTTACCTCTAGATTGATTTTCTAGCCTCAAAATGCCTTCTCCAAGCTTTAAATTTCCAATATGGGACATGGGAATCAAAAGGCAACAAAAGGCTCTTGTTTCTCCTTTATTTTCTAAATGGGCGGACTGCCCAAAGCCTTTTTTATTTTGTAAGTTTATATGAAGCTAATAATAGATAACATGCATCTATCGATAGATCTTTCATGGATTTTATCTTTTAGCCCCTCATCTATCGATGGATTTTCGAGTCTATCGATAGATGTCATCTTGTACACTTTTTTTCATTCTCATGGTCCAACTTATTGATAGTTTCTGGGAATTTATCGATAGATTTTACCACATTCTCTTGATCATCATTCCTAGACGTTCATCTATTGATCGTCTTTGAACATATATCGATAAATCATATCCTTGTTGCTTTCAATTCATTTTCAAGTGGCTATCTATCGATAGTTACCTAGACTTTATCAATAGATATCCTTCAACTGTCCTTCTTTTACTCTTGTGTGGACATCTTTTTCTTTCTTTAACATTCAATTTTATATAATATAAAATGGAAGTGCCCAAAAACAAAAGAGCAAATCCATATCTTTACATGGTTAGAATGGATATAAGAAACGTATTGGTGAGCAAAAAGAACCTTGTACTATCCTAATGAGCAATACAAAAAAGACGAGGTCCCATTCAAGGAACACAAAGAACCAAACCAACACTCAACAGCACATAGCAAGGGACATAAATCGGCAAGAATAACAAACACAATCATCAAGCCTGTTTCCTAGTCTTACAAACCCTTGACTAGTCATGAAAAAGCACCACAAGCATAAAGTGTCAGTTCTGGTCTTTGTAACAAGATAATAGTGCCATTCCAACATATTCACAAAATCATTCATGACGAAAAATTTGCGGTAGATCATTAGTTCTATCCACTCTCTGTTTAGCAAGTTTATCAACCACTTTATTACTGGATATAAGGGTGTGATTAACCTTTCATCTGTTCACCTTACCTAAGAGAGTTTTAATGTGAAACATCAAATTTTTCAACCTCCAAGGTGCTGTTTTAGGGTTAGAGATCCAAGTAATGGCATTTTGGGAGTAAATTTCTACACAAGTTTATCCTTGGCCTCTTTGGCCAGGTGCATAGAATCCAAACACATCATAAACTAGTCCCAAATATCTTTTTCCCAATCAAAAATCGCTTTCCTAAGCTTCATTTACCAATGCCAACCTAAATTTTGCCATGTACCAACTCTTCAATTGTTTCGGTCATATTGGTTTCTAAAGCAAAGATTTTAGGGATCTTAATCCTTTGGGTGATGCCATCGATCCCTTCATCCTCCCAAAATCGTATATTGTCACCATTCTTCACAGAGAAGCCAATACCTACACACAACAAAGAAGCATATCTCCCTGAAGTGGTAAGTGGGTTAATAATGATTTTTCACATGGAGGATGGTCCTCTACCACCCGACACATGTGGAGTAAGACTCCAATCATTCCCCTCATTTTTGGCAAAAATGACAAAATGCCATATATTCTTTTTTTCCTCACTATACCTCTAAATCCATTTATTCAGCAAAGCTCTATTCTTTAATCAGTGCTCAAATAAACCAAGTCTTCCCCCATCCTTCAAGTTGCAAACGGAATCTTTATCAAGCCAATGAATATACCTTTTCCCATATAAGTCGTTCCATAAAAACTATCTTTGAATTCTATCAAGTTCCTTCTTAACACCTATCGGCATCTCAAAGAGTGACATGAAGTACATTGGAAAACTAGCAAGAACTTATCTGATGAGAGTAACTCCACCACCAGTAAAAAGTAATATAGATTTCCACCTCATGAGTCTTGACTCAAAATCTCTCAACCACAAGTTTCCATATATTGATAGAATGGTGTTTAGCCTTAAAAGGGAGGCCAAGATAATTCAAAAAGAAGACTACCAACTCGACAAAGGATCATACTAACCCAGGTTTCCTCCTTACTCTTTACCATGATACTATACAAGTTACTTTTCTTAAAATTAATTTTAAGGCTTGAGATAACTTGGAAGCAACATAGCACCCTTTTAATGTTCAGAACACAATCCTTATTAAAGAGGTTAAAGATCATAGTGTCATCAGCGTATTAAAGGTGAGAAATTGAAAGCTTGTTACCCCCAACCACAACACCCTTACATAGGCCAATATCCACTACTTTGTTCATTAAAGCACTAAAAGCTTCAACCACAAGGTTGAATAGAAAAAGAGACAGCGGATAAGCTTGATGAAGATCTCTCTTCATTTTGACATATTTGGTAAAAAAATCATTACCCAGAATTGAGACCGCTGTAGAGTTAATATAGAAACTAATTCACTTCCTCCATCTTCACCCAAAGCCCATCTTATAAAGAACAAAGTCCAATAAGCCCTAGTCAACACTGTCATACGCCTTCTCATAATCAATTTAAAAAAAAACACCTCCCTCTTTGCTTTTTTGCATACAATCCATTAATTCATTAGCAATGAGAGTGCAATCAATGATCTATTTTCCTTTAATGAATGCAAACTGACTAGATCTTACAGCTTCTCCAATTACCATTCTAATCCGATTAGCCAAAACCTTAGCCACCATCTTGTACATATGTCCCATTAAGCTAATTAATTGATACTCATTTAAAGAGGCGGGATTAGTGCATTTAGGGATAAGAGTAACTAATGAAGGATTAATTCTATCATCAAGCTCACCACTGGTATAGAAATTCAACAAGAATTTCATCTCTGAATCTTTCATTTTTAGCCACTGCATCTTAAAAAAGTTAAGATTAAATCCATTGCGCC